ACACTGAGGAGGATGCGGAGCATATAATTGGTTAAAGGGGTGTTAAAGTGCGACTTACTTGGGTCGATGGCTAAATTGGTTAACGTGCTTGTGAAATGGTGTGTTAAACTGCGACTTACTTGGGTCGCTGGCTAAATTGGTTAACGTGGTTGTAGGAGGGGTGTTAAATGAGTGAACACGTACGACACGTATGCGAAAGGGCGGTGTTTATTTATTGCGACGAACTTTGAGCACGATGGCTTTTAGATGCCACTTTGGCCGGCGCTGGTCGAAGGGACGTCGATCATTGCGACCTCGGACGTCGACGCGCCGTACAAACAACCCGACGAGCGGCAACTGAGCGAGCGAGCACCGACCTTGAGTATATATACAGCGCGACGGCGCATGCACTGTCAGCTGTCGAATGTTCGAGAAGGGGGAGAAGCGCAACGGCGCATGCGCACGCGTCAGCTGCCGATGTTCTCGAAGCGTGACGGCGCATGCGCGCTACATTATACATCTAGCGAATGTTCTTGAAGAGGAGAAGCGCACGCGGTGTGTAGAGGAGGAAGGGTGCACAGATGGTGGAGGAGTGAAGCGCGCGCGGTGTGTAGAGGAGGAAGGGATGCACAGATGGTGGAAGAAGGAGGAGGAAGCTTGTGGACGGCGCCGCACTACAAGCCTCGAGTATTAAATGCTCCGCATCTAAAAGGAGCTTATGCTATGGGAGACGCCATCAATAGTCATTAAGTTTGATAATTTAGGTGAGAGTGTGATTAAAATTCAAACATTATACTCTACAGAGCAACTGAAAGCCACTGTCTGACAGGCACGCATGAAAACGTAGATTCGAATAGTGCAAGTGTAATAGACAAGCGAGGACGTGGATTAGTTCTTCATTATGGACGGGCTGCACCCCCTCCCGACCATAGAAGGCAAGCCTCCAGTCGCTATCCTCAGGTTCGCATCGAGAGCAGTAATGCCTAGTTCACACTGAAACATCCGCTTTCTACAGCGACTGAAATTCCCTTGCCGCCGAAACGCAGGGTCGTTTGCACTGGACGCGCCCCGCGCCGCCGAATATGCCATCTACCACTGGGCGAACGCGGGATGGATGCGCTGTCCCCCGGTTGTTGTCGCGGCTCGCAAACGCTACTACGCTATTCGGTGGTGTATACTTCGACGATTCTCGTACGAGAAAAACAAGAAAAGACAGTGCTGCTTACTTTGCTGCTAAGTGGCTGTCTTGTAATGCACAAAGAGCAGAAAAACCACCAACGCCAGCGGCGTTGGTGGGTTCGTTTTGCTCTGCAAGACCGCAACAAGCTCGGTCACGCCAACAGCAAGCTCGGTCACCACTTTCACGAAATACGGAGGCGAAGTATGCACAGAGTAGGTTAACTCCCGTTGGTTTCAACATTCAGTTACGTGCACTGCGGCATAAAAATGAGTAGGTCTTGGCCGTCATTTTTCAAAATTCTTTGACTAGCGCTCCTATTGGTCCACGGTGACCGATTCGGCGGCAGACGCCGCAAAAATCGGTCCTAGAGCGATCGGCGCGGAGAGGGCCCTTTCGGCGGATCTCGCCCCCGCCGAACTGGATTCGGAGCATTTTCGGCGGCCGGAATGCTCAGTCTGAACGCGGCCTAAGGCAAAATGGTTCGCGAAACGAAAGCAACTAATGAACAGGCTTCCGGGAGTGAAATTCTTTGACAACTTGACAACTTGATTCTAGTTAACAATGGCTACTCATTTAACTTCTGAGCATTTCAATAGCTTAGTACAAGTTGAGGATTGCTTCCGTAAAAAACACGCTTCACTTTTTCACATGAACGCAAGAAGCCTCAGAAATAAACATGTAGAAACCGAGGCATATTTATCTCAGTTATATTGTTGTCTTGATTTTTTAGCTTTCTCTGAAACTTGGTACTCAGATGACGCAGAAGTGCACAATTTTGTCGATTATAAGCATGTTTCTGTTTACCGTTCCGGGAGGCGTGGTGGGAGCGTGCTCTTTATGTTCACCAACGTAGTCACTTCTACACTCTGAGAGAGTTTACTTGCATGTGCGATGATTTGGAAACGGTTGCTATTGTGTGCCGCAATTTTCTTATAGCTGTTGTTTACCGCCCGCCCCAGGCGGCACTCTCAAACTTTCTTGACTATGTCGAGACGCTACTACAATGTGCCAATGCTAATAAATGGAACATCATTATGGTCGGTGATTTTAATGTAAATCAGTTTACCGATAATCAAGCAAAATTTCAGTTACTTGAAGTTATGCTTGCGAATAACTGCGATAACCTAATTCACCAGGCCACCAGGGTTACTTCACAGTGTGATACGCTCATTGACTTATGCTTTACAAATGTACCAAAGGCTGAAACTTGCTCTGGTGTCCTGGGTTCAGATATCAGTGACCATTTATCTATATTTGCAATTTTTCCAACGCATAATTATTCAAGTGCAGAAAAGTTCACTACGAGACGCATAAATCAGCGCAGCATCACTTTATTTCAGTCTCTAGTCGTCAGCACAAAATGGGAAGACGTGTACTCCGAGCAAAATCCATCTAGATCATATGAAATATTTGTGTCAAAATTACAGCACAGTTATAATACTGGTTTTCCTTTAACAACAGTACTGAAGCACAGAAAAGCCCGGAAGGCATGGATCACGAGCGACCTTTATTATCGCATTAAACAAAAAGAAAAATTATTTGCTAATTTTCTAAAAACACGCGATCTTCAAATATTACAGGAATTTAAGAAGTTTAGAAATAGGTTAAATGTCAACCTAAGGAAGGCCAAACTTGCCTTTTTTGAACGCAAGTTTGAAAGCGTCGCCCAAAACAGTCGTAAGACATGAAAGGTCTTTCGTGAATTGACAAGTACCCCTTCATCAGGAGTACCAGCGGAATTAGAAGTCGATGGCGTGAAGTATTCTGGGGATTCTTTAGCAAAGTTGTTTAGCAATTCTTTTATCAATGTTGGAGCTGCTGAACCTCTCCATACTGTGCACCCAGAACGAAGTTATTTGATGTACGTGCATTGTGCTGTGAAAGACACTTTATTTATTTGTCCTACTTCAGAAGATGAAATCATGTCTATTCTAGGTTCTCTTGATAACAAATCAGCTGCCGGAGAAGACGGCATAAAAGCTTCAGCAGTTAAGGCCGTGTCACATGACATTGCAAAGCCATTAACGCACATTTTTAATAAAATGATATCATCTGGTATCTATCCTGATAGGCTAAAAATTGCTCGTGTGACTTTACTTCATAAAGGCGGCAAGTGTAATGAGTTGGGTCATTGTAGACCAATATCTGTACTATCAATATTTGCTAATGTTGCAGAGAAAGTCTTATGCACGCAACAGTTCGGATTTCGAAAGGGAAAGTCTAGAGAAAAGGCACTTCTACGAATAAAAGATAAAATGATCCAAAATACTGAAAACAGGTTATTTACAGTCGCTATATATCTAGATTTCCAAAAAGCATTCGACTCCATCAAACACGAAATTTTATTCCGTAAACTTGAAGCATACGGCTTTAGAGGTAAAGCACAAAATCTTATCCGTAGTTATTTGCACAATCGACTACAGTACATTTGTCTCCAGGATGCTCAATCTGAAGAAACTGTAATCAAATATGGTGTGTCCCAAGGCTCTGTACTGGGCCCTCTACTATTTATAACATATGTGAATGATATTGTTAATATCCCTTTTACTGGGAAGGTATTAATGTATGCTGACGATACGAGTGTTTTCTTTTCTGGGAATGATTCGGAGGAGCTAGAGGCGATGTCAAACAACTGGTTGAAACAACTTAATCTCTAGGTATCTTCTAATAAACTAAAAATAAATGTTAGAAAGACAAAGTTCATGCTTTTCGATCCTAAAAATGAAGAAGTAGATTACATTATGAAACTATACTACGGCGATTCGCAACTATATCTAGTACACGATCATTCGTTTCTAGGCGTTTCTTTTCAATCAAATTTAAGTTGGTGAATACACGTGAACAATGTAAGGATGAAGGTAGCGAAGTCTATAGGCATGTTGAACCGTTTACGTAACTTTTTAACAACTAACTTAAAGAAGGAATTGTATTTTCCCATAGTACATTCTCATTTTAGTTACTGCTCGTTAGTGTGGGGAACAGGAATTAAGACTGATAATGAAAAGCTTTCTTCTTTACAGAGGAAAGCAGTTAGACTACTTAACTCGGGGTATAATGTAGATGCGTCAGCTCTCATGTTAAAGTACAGAATTCCACAATACTACCTTGTTTACAAAATAAAATTGTCGGTGTACATATATTGCGAAGTATCGGGAGACAGGGGTTCATTTAGCCGTCGCTATTTAAGCAGGAACACTGGCCACGACTTTCGTAAAACACACAGTTGTGGAAAGAACACGCACAAACTATGGAATGCAAACAATAGACTTCCAAATTATGAAGTTATGTAATGAGCATTCTGCAATAATTGAACTAGCACGATCGTGCACCTACTCAAAAAAATTCAAAATGAAGATTCGGTCCCTCTTTAACACTTAGGATAAATGCACTCTCAGCACGGTAGGGTGAGCTACAGTCTCTCATACTATTTGTATGTATATATTTTTGTGTATATATATATGTTTATGTGTGCTCAGCAATGAATACTATTGTTATAATGGTTATTTCTATTGCTCTTTTTATTTGTATGTATATAATTTTGTGTATGTCTATATGTTATGTGTGCTCAGCAATGATTTCTATTGTTACAATAGTGATTTCTTTTGTTCCTTTTTTATTTGTATGTATATATTTCATGTATGTATATATGTTTATGTGTGCGCATTGCAATAATTTATATTGTTTCTATTGCTACTGTTACGCCCAGCGCGAGCAGGATCATGTCAGGGGGCTAACCACCTCCTTTTGACCTGAGCGCGGGCAATGCTTTTTGTGCTGTCCGAAAAATGAATAAATAAAATAAAAATTATGTGGGTCAAAGAGAAGCACAGTGAATACGCACCTGGGTGCTAAGCCTCGCAACCAGGGTCTGCTCCAAGTTTCCGTTGAGTCCCAGCAAGGGTGCAATGACCACGAATATCTGGTGCACTATCACATACACCGGCCAGTCCTGTATTGTTGAAATTAGAACATATAGAACAGGCTCAAAGAAGGCGTAGTCGCAAAACATAATGTGGTGTCCCCCAACACCAAGAACAGTCCGAACATTTTCCTCTCTCAATTCTCTCTATCTTATCAGAGAGGAGCTCAGCAAGTGTCTCTTAAGTTTTCCTGCGAGCAATCAAACGAGATTGCCATGATTTAGTCCAGCTTGAAAATTTGTAGAAATTTATTTGTTGCAATCAGTAAGACCCATCTTCACGCGTCGTACTAGAGCTTAAGGGACCACATCATGCTGCATTGCGTGTCTAAGCAAAAACTACACATTTTTGTTTTCAGTAAGGGTAAAATCAGTTTTACTAACCATTCGACTAGGACACGTAAGCATAGCATAAGTGCTCACTGTTTACTATAAAACAAATTCAAATTTTCGTTGCATCATACCTAAACAAAGTTTTTATTAGAACCTTTCTAAGAATGCGAATAGTTTTCATCAGTTCAGTTTGCCGGGACTCCATTTACAAAGACCTAATGATGAATTAAATTGAATAGCTGCTCAACCCAATAAGTACGCCTAACATTTAGAAGGTGTGGTTGCTTTTGGTCAGCCGCTTTGTATATATTAACTACGTGGCCGTCAAAAGCAATAACCGAAATCTTTTTGATTTTGCTTAAGAAGGCAAAAAGTTTGCGGCCGCTTACTTACTAAGTTCATAAGTTGCAACTGGAAGCATTCACTTTGCAGGACGAAGTAATACAATTACTGCTCATGAAGGATGCTGGATTTACGCGATACAACAACTTATATTCCTTACTATTACAGTGGTTCGTGCAGTGGATTTTTAAAGGGCGCGATGGTGAACAATTTGTCAATTTGAAGATTTCAAAGCTTGACATTATGAGAATAATCACTTCAGGGTATGTGATTAACACTGTGGTGAGAAATATTTTACACGGTTTTTTTTCCGTAATAGTTGAAGGAATTGGTATAGAAGACACGCACACGACCAGTGCATGCACGTAAACTCAATGAAGTGTCTATTGTCGTAAATACTGGTTGATCTCGTTTTTATAGAATAAAGTTCGCGGTACGCTTCATTGCGCTATTCCTGCAGTGAAAGCCCGTGAAGCACGTCATAAGGCCTTGTTTTTTAGCAGCTTTATTGTGTGGAAAAATTTATGGTGCTTGAATTGTGCGATATATAAGCAACACAACGGGTTTCACCGCCAGCCAACTGGAAGTTGAGTACTGCTCGAATGTTATGAAACTGCAACAAATATGTGAACTAATCTAAAAATGGCGTAGTGGCTCAAGTTAACAGTTAAATATATGGCATCATAGGAGTGAGTACGTAGAGAGACAGTGACGCGGCATTCCTTTATTCACTTAAAAAGGTGTTTGTAGAGTCTGCCTTATACGTTTGTTCAATTATGAATATGGTATTTAAACTATTGGCAGCTGAAGAGACCTGATGTTGCGTTTCAAGAACTGTCGCCTTCCCATCTTCAACTCAGGCTAGCCCTTGGGTGAAGGAAGTCTCCGCATAATTTGCAATTTCCTAACCCAATGTAAAGCACGTTTTCGTTAGGAATTCACAAACGAAGAGGGGGGGGGGGAGGAAGTGCGATGAAAATTCACTCTCACACTAAACGGGCAACTTTACCCACGCCCACGATAGGATCTCCAGTCTTATCGGTTTTACCACTAATGTGTTTTTGCCGAGGTCCATCACGGCTCCGCTCCCTGTTTCCGTCACAGATATCAAGCTAAGTTCACCCCGGGTTTCGAACCTACAACCTCCCATGTCACAGTGGGCGGCACAAAATCACTCGACCATGTGATTGTACGTTGTCCAGCTTTTTATATACAATATAGGCCGTTCAGCGCGTTCACATCTGTGGCGAAGTGGCCCGAAACACGTGAATTGGGCACACGGTAAAGATCATCGTCCTGTGTATGAAGATGCGCGCGCGTCTTCACAAAACGCGGTCGTTCATGCACGCACGCTAATCTCGTGGTTCGAGTGCTATGTACCTCTTGTACTTCCACGGCAAAATTGCTTTCAAGTTACAGTAGTTAAGGAGAACACGAAGGTTACTTCGCTAGCTAATCCAACCGAGTTTATCCAAAGCTGCTCACACAGCAATAAGTAAGAATTCGATCCATGACATTTGTTACTCTGCGCGCGTCCTGTGTATGCTACTTTCGTGCGTGCTTCCCACTTGAGCGTCAGGCTGCATGTTTCGAACTGCTTGCCGTTCTTTGTGTGACTCTATCATTTGTTTCTGTAGCATATATTTCTTCTCCTTTGTGCACGAACAAAACAGAATAACTGTCAACTGCCTCTATTATGACGTGTTTATCTTCCCTCATATACTGATTCCCAGACAGAGAGATCAGCCACGTTTTCTCACATATTCTACTTTTATTCGTACTCTCGTTTTCTTTACTTTTTTGCTCATGGAGAGGCTCAAACTGCTGCCTCACGATATATTCACAGTTGAGAGATCGCGCCTACCAATTTGGCCTCTCTTCATTTGTGAGTGTCTCTCTTGTTACAACAATGCATTGTGATATTTCGCAACTTTTATCAAAATGGTTTAGAAAGCTTTTATTTTTAGTGACTCAGTAGTTCGCTGTTACACTGCAGCCATTTTTACCTTGACCACGTCGAGCAGGATGCCAGCCAAGGTGGAGCCGAAGCCAGCCAGGATAAAAGGCACAAACACCTGGAGCGCCGTCGAGGTCAGCTGAGCGTTCATCGTTCGTTCACCAGGGCTGGCCCTGCCAATAGCCGTGTGTGGCACACTTGCACGGCCGATAAGGGCAGTGCCAACGCAGGCGTCGATCAAGAGAGGTGCGCTTGCTTCGGGCGGACGAGGATCCGGCGTTGGTGAAAGCATAAACGACGCCTGGCCAATCTCGCGAACAGGCAACGACAAGCTTACGTCGTCGTTGCGAGGGTCCTGGCGGCCTTCCTCCGACGGTACCAAGGTGGATGGCAGCATCGGCGCTACAGTGCGTAAGCGTTGAAAAAAACTGTGATCTGCTGCCTTAATTTTACGCAATACTGCCACTTTCTGGAGACATCATGGGACTAGCTTCAAAATAGCGTGAGACGTGGTTTGACCACCTGTGGGTAAGAGCGTGTAGGCACTATGCTAAACTTGTTAAGGTTTTCCGAATCGTGCCTAATATAGACCCTTTTCAAAATTGTAAAGTTCGCTTTCCTGCTATGCAGCTTGAGCAACTAATGGTGGCTTGCCATTTAGTCCAATGAGCTTGTTTAAGCGGGGTTTACGCACGCAAAGGCGTGAAAAATGTTGAGTCGCCTCTCAAAATTAAGCACCTATAATAGACAAGACCAAGCACGTTCAACTAGGACCCCAGGCGTGCGCGAAAATAGGGCAGAAAGGACGGCGGCACCCCCTAGTCACCTTAGAGGGGGGCGCAAGATCTGCTCCATACATTGACTAGGGAGCGGGGCGCCCTGCTATTCACACAAGAAGGGTATCGTAAAATCTTCCCCCAGTATTGACCTAATAGGGGTGGGGGGGGAGGGCACAACGATGGATCTTCGCCCCCTTGAACACGAACCCTGCGCATGCCCATCACTACGATCGCGTCTTCGCGTGAAGCACGACAAGTGACGCCATTACTTGTTTAAAAAAGCAGTGTAGATGAAGCGCACTTGAAAGTTATGAAAACAGTTCATTGGGTCTTACGGTTGTACATCAGAAACGATTCGAAATACAGACACAAAGTAACACACGAAATTACATACCAGCGCTATGTCATCTGGTTTGTCATCTCGTGTCCTATTCTTAGTTGGCATTTCTCGCACTGCAATTTATTTCATTTACAGGACGGTCAAACGCTGTCAATCCTAAACGCGACCAACGCCTCCAAGAAAAACTAAGCCTGGAACGTCGCTCTCTTTCCAATTCGGAGCTTCCTGCTAGCACAAAATCTTGGAGGCCATGCCTCCTGCCACGTGTTTCGACCGTCTAGCGCGTGGAACCACTCACCTCCGTACCACTCAGTCACGTGATATTACCTCACCACTCTGAACTTCATCGATCTACCAAGTCCCGGATCACTCGCTGACGGCCCGCGGATGCCTCGGCTCACAGGTGGCTGCGTCCCATGCACGTGATCTAAAAGTCCCGAGCCAGCCTGAGGGGCCTTGGACCATCTGTGCGCTTGATGCTGACTGCGGCTGACTGCATCCGCTGTGGCGTCTGCTATGCCTGGCCATGCCGTCTGCTCCCTCCATAGCTGAAGCACAGGCCACAGCGCTGACTCATTTAGGTGATTTATACCTACTTCTGTTATTATGCAACTTGCTGTAAGTGAACTACTGAGCGCGTGCGCATCGTAGACCGACGCGGTCATTCCACCACTGTTTCTCCTAGCGAGCATAACGCGTGTTTGCCCGAGCTTCGGGAATACGCACATGCTCGACGGGGCGCAGAACACCGATGACAAGAAATGGGTGCGCTAACAAAGCGAAATCCAGAAAAATGTGAGAAGCGGACAGAAAAGCATAGAGAGTAGCGCGTCGAAAATTATCCGTGTCTAACTTAAGATGGCCGCACAGCATGCGCACCATGCAGTCGTCTGGCAGCTGCCTGAAATTTTTCGGCCGATCCCGGGCCGCCCGCAGGCCGCCAGGCACGCGAAAAACGAACATGCGTCCGAGTGATACCGGACCAGTGGGCGGAGCTTCCAGTTGGTCTCCGAGAAAAACGAATGCGGCGCCGGTGTCCGGGGCCGTCCGGAGCCGTGTGGGACGTCTAAATCAATGTCGCTCATTGTCACGTGACGTCACAGCTGCTCGGAAGCAACTGTGAGAGCATTGCTGCGTTCGCATGGAGTAGCCACCAAAAGCGTTCGCCTCCGTACCGGAGGGTGAGGGTAAAATCCGAGGGTAGGGCGGCGCGTTTGGGGCTCACGTTCCAGGCATACTTCTTCTAGGAGGCATTGCGCCAACGTATCACCACCAGTTTAGTAAACGTTCCCTAAATTGTCACTGTCAGCACGAGTGAGCGTCTCAAGCAACGTATCTAATTTCAACCATGTGACAGAAACAACGAAACCTCGAGAGCAATATGGTTGTGGACTAGGCTGCTTGTAAAACATTCAAATGTATGAGCTTAAGAACAACGTGAACAGAAAAGGAAAATTTATGAAAATTCGCTTTTGGTTGGTTGGTCAAGGTAACACCATATGAGAAATTTGAATGCACAGGCTTGATTTTGTGTTCTTCTGGAAAGAAGCAGCCTGTAATTTTTTTAAGTTTATGATGTTTTCCTGCTCATGCTGTCAAAAATTGTCACGAGGTTTTCCTTTCTTATGAGCGCAGGTAAACAAAAGAGCATCATCTGCTCCCCGCCGTTGGGACTGGATTGTTATACTAAATGTTTAACATCATGCAGTCTTCTAAGACGCACACTTTCGCAAACACACAATCGTGATAATTCACGAAACTAAAGCGTAGGATGAGTTCACTCGTCCACGATTCCCGGTGCTCAGGAACTGCGTCCACAATAAAAGAGCGTGGGTCTTCAATAGCGAAATATTTCGTAGGGTGTAAGTTTTAGAAAAAGCGATGTTTGTGATGTAGACGTTTATCACGAGTAAGCATTTCATTGTGATGCTCAAGCACCAGGTATACGGGAAGAGAAGAGGACATAAAAATCTCTCTCAAGAAACACGCCATAACAATGATAACGTCTGATCCCACTTCATTGAGATAAATATTTGTCCATTCCACTACGCGATTTCCAAGGTAATGGTGAACAGTATTTTCATGTCGTTGGTAATAGGAATATACATGCGATTGTGCCTAATTGCTCAAGATTAACTTACCCCCCATTTAGCTACTTCTCGTGATCCTGGCAAGTTTGATTAAATACAGACTTACTGGCGTAAGCGTGTCAATTTATGGAGAGCGCAGTTTTATTGCAGAAGACTGTAACTCGGAGAGCAGGACAACAGTAGGGGCCACATTCCGTATCATTGATAGAAGGGTGGACATAAAATTCAAAAGCGACATTCATTTTCTTCTACTCTCACGCACGCACGCGCGCACGCAGGGCTACACTCACCCACACACACTAAGACACGCACACACACTGTTACACCTGTGAGTCCACACCGAACGTCTGCAAAGGCAATCTGCAAAGGCAATCTGTCTAAACGCCAGCGTTTGAACCCGCCTGACGCAATCAATTCAATGAAGTCATCAAGCAGCGGCGCCGGTCTGTCACGCAACACACAGTGAGCTTCCTCAGCCCACGAGCCCGTTGACGCAATAGGCGCCTCCCAGTCTGGAGAGTCTATGCAAAACATGGTCACGTCACAGGTCCTTGGGTGCAACCACGCACTGCGGCTCAGGATTTGATGAGCATGACGTGGCCCAGCGGCGGGCCCCATTGGAGGATTCTGACATCACGGCCAGCGGCGCTTCTGGTTGGACATTGGTGACTCAAAGGATCCACCCGGTGCCTATAAAAAAAAGCCCCGCCGCGCGTCGCCAGCAGTAGACCTATGTGTCAGAGAAGCCTCCCGTTGCTTCGAGCCCCTTCGTAGTCGGTGCGCCCGGTGTCCTTGGAAGCGGCGACTTTCATGGCGTCCTTTGTAACCTCGTTGGCGGTGCGCATCGTAACAGCTTGCGAGAGAAGACATTTCGGCTTTTCGAGTCCTTAAACTGTCGGCCGCAGTGCCGAATTTGTAATGCCTCTATTTCTTTGCTGTACCTAAACCTTGCCTTAACTCACCGTCGTTTCCGCTCATCTATCAGCTCTGCGCAGAAGCAGTCATGAGCTGAGAAACCTACGCGACTAAACGGCTGGTGACCTTGGCGGAGGAGTTCGGAGCAGTAGCGCCTTCGGGACCGTGTTGGTGTCTCGCCTTCGTAACATCACTTAACACATACATATACATACGACACACACACACACACAGACACACACGCACTTCTTGGGAATCATTAGGATATAATTTACATGCAAGGCGGTATCTGGCAGTTATCATTTCCGAATATCAGTCACCCAATCCGGCTTCTTCATTTCCCGTGGTGCCCTCTGGTGCTTTGATAGGGCTTTTCCAGAAGTAAAGCCTCCTAAAGTAATATAACGATATTTCAACTAGACGAAGGGTGCGTGCGATAAGCGCCGTAAAAAAGGCCGATTCATAATTGTAGAAATACAATGAAGAGGGATGCATAAGCTCTCATTTTCATAATGTAGAAGCGTTACGTCACGTAGCACACGTGAACAACGAAATTGTAAGACTCAACAAGGCCATTCTTTGTCCGCTGAACATCGTAGGTGCGAGCTTACTTTTCCGAAGCTAGTCATGAGCAAGTGAGATACACGTGTTTTCCGACAGTGGTTCGCCAATTACACGTGGATATAGTCTGAAAGGTTTTCACCAACAGCGTATCTAACACCATCCTAGTTGTAGTGTAGAGAGATTTCCATAACGGCATTTGTAGTTATCGCGAATAATGCGTTTCCTGGGAAGACAGTTCAAATGTGTGAGCTTGATACCATTTGTACCTAGTTTTCAATCGTAAAATGGACAACGTTAGCACGCAAAGCCTGGCCATTACAGACAGTTTAGCCTACACAGCGGAGTGTACACGATCTGTTAGCGTAGTCAAATGTTTTCAAAATACTGACCGAGACGTACGTCCTGTAGAACGGTTTATAAGGGGATTAAAGTAGATTGAGACTGTGAATGAGATTTCATTACTTTCTCGAAATGAGGCAGACGTGCTAAGTCGAGCATAATTCCATGTGACATTGCAAACGTTAAGGGATTCTATTTCCATGCTTCTTTAGGCTACCTTATGATAAAAACGTTGCAGAAAGAGTGGCTGGTTTGAGAGGCTAGCAAGGAAGACGATATGGTGTTTCTGTTCCGTCAAAAAATGACCATTTTTTGAGCCCCTAATGCCTAGGACTTGAGTTTCGATACGACAAACAAATTTTCACCTTTT